ACACACACACACACACACCAATGTGAGTGAGTCTGTCTGGAAACAGTAGAGACAGAGAGGAGGTCTGGGAATGCTGAAGGGGGTGGGGGAGAGGAGAGAGGTGGAAAGTTGCAACTTCAGGGCAATATGCACCGCATGCTATGGGAAGGAATGCATGTGTCTTTGTAGGAGAGTGAAAGAGCAAATGAAAAGAAGACAGGAGGAGGAGGAAAGAAGCAAGGAGGGAGGGATCTAAGCTAAGGCTGCAGCGTGGCTGTGTGTCTGAATGAAAGAACCTCTCTCTCCCACTCTCTACTGCTGTCTGTATGTATGGCTTATGTCCGCTGCAGTGAGTGAGCACATGTCCCGAGCAAACACAGCAGGACTCTCCAAGTGGCTTCAAGCTGGAAGTAAATATTTTGCAGAAACTTCGGCTGAAGGTGCAACTTTAAATTTTCAATGCTTTTGAATTTCGTTTCCTTTTCTAAGAAGCTAGATTACTTCAAAGCAATGTGACTGTTTTTTCTTCTTCTTCTTTTTTTAGGATTGCTTGTTAGTATCCAGAAAATAACTTACTTTTGAGAAAGTGTCATGTGATGGACATTAAGTTTTAGTAACTCAAAAATTTTGAAACTTGCTCTCTGACAGTTTTTTGATGTGTTTTTTTGTGTGCAGATTTTCTATAAACTGAATAACAAGGACTGAATCTCTCCACATCAACAGGAGTCTGGGAGATTGGCAGCTCAACGCACCACCTGGACATCTCCTCAGCATCAAAAGAATTCACTGGATCAGTTTGACCTTATTTTACCGTATTTACACACAGAGCAATTCTGTGCGCTTTGTAGGTCTCTGGCCAACTTGCAGGCAGGTGTGATGCTGGGTCAGTGTGTTTGATACACACAGTCACATTTCTACACACACACGGTTGCTTGAAACCAGGACATCAAATGAGGACATCCAATACTCCAAACCTTTTCAGAAAAGCTTACTTTGAGTCTCCTGCCTATGTTTGACAGATGCTGGTGGAGATGTAACATGTAGATTGTCTTACAACAAGTCTTCCCTCTTCTCACACATCATAGTGAAATATTACATTTACTGCATCATTGGGTCAAGCACCAAACTATCCTGAACTGAAAGACAGCATCTTCCACACCATGGAAGGTCCACTCCCTCACCTCCTTCTCCTCGTCCTGATTTTCCTCCTCCACGCCTGGCGGGGGTGCTGTCATCCCCAGTGTTTGGACTACAAGCCTCCATTTGAGCCCCGGCAGCCATTGGTCTTCTGCAAAGAGTATTCCAAGTTTGGATGCTGCGATCTGGAAAAAGATGGGGAGATATCAGTCCGATTTTACAAAATCATGGAGAACTTTGACCATTCAGGTTATGTAACCTGTGGCAAGTACATGCGCAGCATCCTATGCCAGGTAAGAGAGACACTATTTTTCTGTTTATATATGTGGCCAAGGTCTCCTCTCCAGATGATAAACATTTGTTTTTAAATGCATTTGATTTTGATGTGACTCTACAGGATTTTATAAAGCAAAATGGCAATCTGAAACAATTCCATCACACTGATAACACACACCTGTCCCTTGCTAAATAAATGAGAGACATAGGCCACATTAACACTGGAAGCCTTAGCACTCAATTATGTTTTATTTCTCAGATCCGATTTTTTTTGGTTTGTTTGTTTTGCTGTTAAAATTTTTGAATATATCAGATTCCAGTATGAACTGGTCATGGTCCTGAAGTGACCCGCAGGGCTAATGTAGAGCTAGAGGGCTGTGAATCATGTGAATTCTGATATGACTGTTCACACTGAGGTTGCACTGCAAAAAATCTGACCTGTATCTGATTTAAACCACATGAACGTGGCCCAAATAAGAATGGAAAAAGATCAGATGTGATTTGTGCTGTTCACACTCTCATGAATAAACAGATCTGAGTCACATACGAGCAAAAAAATCAGATTTTGGTCACTTGTGTGAACATACTCTTAAAATCATTTTCACTGTGGAATCCACACGAATCATTTCCACTTTGTAGTGACATTACAGTCCCAGATTTGTGAACCTAAATATGTCTCTCATGCAAGGTGTAAATTTGTCTGACTGCGGATGTTTGTAGTCCCAACCCGGAAACTTGGCTTTGGTGTCCAATGTGTTACACCAAGACGTCTTTAAGATTAGCACAGTGTGCATATTTTGAGCAGTTCCTTTAAATTCAAGAGCATTCATTTCTCTGGTTTGTTTTGTCAGGTAATAATAATGCCATTTATATTTCCGTGGGAGCTAAATAACTACAGAAAACTGAACTGAACTGAACTTCTGAAAATACAGTTTTCTGCCTCACTGCAAAGGAAACTGTGGTGTGGTTTGTCAGTGCGAACCTTATCTCAACAAAGTACAGCAACCAACAAAACACGTGGTTTAATGGCTACATGGGAATGTTGAGCTCTGCTAGACAACACTTACTCATGCTTGGAGAGCTAAACCACAGCCTTAACTAGTGTTCATGTGTTTTTGATGGGTCAGCTTGTAATTGGGGTTTGTGAAACTAAACAAGCCAAATAATGGAGTGCAATAAAGGAAACTTTCCTTCTCTGATTTGGAAGAACCTGAAGTGACCATTTGAAGGGAACATGACAACTAAGTCCAGAGCTAAAACTTTGAAATAGAATTTGTGACATAGTGGCACATATGTAATAATAAAATGTCTCAGGACACCAAATTATTGGCTTGAAATGGTCAAACAATGGCTTGGTTTACATTTTCTTATGTAATCTACAAAAAGTAAACTTCACTTCATCCATTCCAGATTTCCAGGAAACCTTGTTTGGTTTCTTTTCTCACAGACATGAGTGAGCTGGACTCCAGACCCTGAGGCCGAATGAGCATATGAGAAGAAATTGCAGCACAATTTGAAAACACATTCATGGTGCTTTTTCCTTTTTGGTAATTCCAAGAAATACACTTTACAGATTTAAAGGAGCATTGTGTAGAATTACTATCTAGCAGTGTAGTTGCAGATTGCAACTCACACCAATAACCCTCTCTTTCCAAGCATGAGGGAAAAACTATAGTGTCCGAGAAAACAGGGGAAAAAAAGAGAACTAGAACCAGTTTTTGGTTTGTCCGGTCTGGGCTACTGTAGAAACA